TGTCCCCCGTCCCGGCGGTCACCGAGGCACTTGGGGCATCCTGAGCCTCCGGCGGGGTCGGCATCCAGCTGGCGGGCGCCGGAGGGGGGCTGCGCATGGGGGGGTCGCTCACGGGACGGGCGGCCGTGCCGGGGCTCCGCGGGCGAGCTGCGGGAAGCAAGAGAGAAGGAAATGAGGAGCCAAACATCCGGGGACCGGGACCACGCGTGGGCCGTGGCTCAGCCACGTGTCTCGCACCGGGCGCTGAATCCCTCGTCCCGCAGGTTCCCTCTGAGGGTATCAACCCCCCCAACCCCGAGAGCTCTTCGCGTGGCCTTGACCCGAGAAAAGCGACGGGCAGGGGAAGGTGGGCTGGACACCACGACAGCCCCCAAACCTGCCCCGGCATCACATCCACGTGGCACCAGCACCCTGCCCCGTACCCCAGCACCCTCCCCGAGGCGTCTGGAGCCAGGCTGAGCCCCGCTCCTGCACCCCGCCCCGCCCCGGGCAGAGCCAGGAGAGGCAAAGTCGATTTATCAGCCAAAAGCAAGACGGGGTTTGCCAACACAGCGATTCAAGCACCAGCCCGTGGATTTAAAGCTCCTCGGCCACCGCTATCCCATGGCCAGTGGCCACACTTCAAGTTCAGCCCCGAGTCCCGGCGCCGTCCAGCTCCCCGAGGCAAAGCCGGAGCCTGGAGGTGAAGGTCGACGCGTTCAAGAGGGAGACGAGGGACGCGCTTCCGAGGGCGGGGAGCGAGGAGCCCCAGGACCGGGTGCCGAGGGCCACGGCGAGCCCGGCCCTCCAGTCACGGGCTGGCAACGGGGCCGAGGCTACGGGCAGAGGCTTTGGGGCCCGTTCCCAGGGACGGTTTGCTCCGGCGTGATCCGATGAACCACACGCGGCCTCCGCATCCAGACCAGGGCTCGGCTCCGGCTGACGTGGCCCCTCCGTCTTGCCGGTACCAAAACGGCTGAATTTTCTCCCACCAGAGGCTGGCGGCGGTGGCGGTGGGGAATAACCCCCCAACCCAGCAATTCTGCAAAGGTTCATTTGTAAATCAAGGAGCCATCCCGCAGGTCGCTGGAGCTGGGAGCTCCTCGTCCTCCTGTCCCGCGGTCGCTCTGGTGCCGGCAGAGCAACTTGGCTGCTCCGGTGAGGAAGAAAGGGATTTTTTTTTTAATTTTTTTTTTGATGGTTTGCCCGGCAGAGTGGGGAAAGCCGGTTCGGCAGCACGAGGTGCTCAGGTGGAGAGGCTGGCAGCGGCTGCCTCGTCTCCAGGAGAAGCAGCTTCGCCTTCCCGAGCCCTCAGAGACGTGGAGCAACAGCCGAGGGCCGGGAGCGAGAGCCAGACGCATGCAAACGAGGAGGAAAACTCACATTTTTAATAGCGGGGTGATTAACCATCAGAACAAACTCCCCAGGGGAGGAGAGGCTTTGCCATCTCTTGACATCTTCAAGTCCAGACTGGATGGTTTCTCGGGACGATGCTGGAGCACATCACAGGGTTCAAAGCAGAGAGAGCTCGGCTGGAGCTTCGGGGCGGTCAGAAAAGCCGCTGCCGCCGTCTCTTCTGCCTTTGAGTCCACAAACCTCAAACACGAACCATCTTTTGCATTCAAATGCTCAAAAAATAGATCCAAGCGTTTGTAGACGAAAAAACTTTCTTGTTTCAAACAGCTCCAAGGCAAAGCCCAAGAGGGAAATTCCTCCCCTCCCGTCCCCAGCGAGGCAGCGTGCCCCTCGGACCGGGCAGCGCGTGGTTCTCTCCCCGTTTTCTTCAGCGCTGAGACCTCACAAGAGCCGGACACGACGTTCGCTGGAGAAAAACCCACTTTGAGCAAAGGGCAGAGAGAGAAATCAGCGGCTGAACAACTTCTGTCCCGGCCAAGAGGGTTGGGACCGAACCGGCTGCCATCGCGCTGGAGCGGATCGGCGAGCGTCCACCCGTCCCCGTGCCAGAGCTCAGTGATTTACGCCACCGGTGCTCTTTTTCCAGCATCTGCGAATCTAAATCAATTAAATAAATACCGGCATTGAGTCAGGATGCTCTAATGTGGCTACGAGAGGGGTGTGAAGGCGGCCCTTTGCACACCGGCGACAGCTGGCTTCTCACCGCCGGGGCCAAGCGGGAGCAGGAGGAAACATCAGCCACATCTGGGCCACGGTTTCCCTGCTGGACCCAACAAGCATCGTGGCAACTGGGAAACTGAGTCACGGAGCAGGCCAGGAGGACCCTGCGGCCTTGGATTCCCAGCACATGACTCCGCTGCTGTTTATCCTCCCAATAAACCCGGGAGGGCTGGAAGAGCCGCTCTGCCCATGACACAGATGGGGAAACTGAGGCACAGCGCCAGCCAGAGCCCGTAGCTGTTTATGGACAGGCAGAAAACCTAACGCCAGCCTCAGCCTTGCCTCTACACCATCATTTTTGAGCTGTCCTCCCTCACTGTGCTGACACCGGGGAGGTTGGCCCGGGGACCCCTGAGCAGTGATGCCCACGGTGGGGATGCTGCCGGGACCAGCCTGGGAACAGGAGGGACCTCCTGGCACCGGCACACGGGTTTGCCAAGCACCCGGCGACACATTTGCCTGCTTGGCTACACCAACACGCCTTGCTGCCTCCACACAATAGGAGCCTTCCCTGGCCGGCCACCACCGCACTCCCCCACTGGCCACCGGCCCCTCGAGCCGTTACGGAAGCGGGAGGTGGCGGGGGGGGGGATGGAGCAGTGGCCATATTTCACGTAAGCACCAAATGTTGGGAGATGGAGGAAGGTGCCAGCACTGGGAGCCGGGTGCCCACGGGTGACCCGCAAAGAGCAGAAGGTGGGTGCACGGCTACAAGAAAAAAAACCCACGCGTGCTCCTGCTTGGACTGGGGGGGCTGTCAGGCTCCTTAGGCAGGAGCTGGGGGGGACAAAGCAGATCCCCCCTGCCAGGTCTGGACCCCAAGCACCGACCGTGCACCATCCACCGAGGAGCTGGGGAGAGGCCGCCAAGGCAATCCGCTGCCTTCCCCCGCTCCGCACGCCCCCTCCAAAGCACAAACACCAACAATTTTCCTTCCCTTCTCCCCGGGCCGTACCCAGTCCAAACCTCCTCTCAGCTGAGGCTTCCCAGCGAGCTCACGGCGCATCCCTCAACCCAGAGGCTGCTCAGCTCATTTCCACGGCCGAGTCCCCCCGTGTCGGGCTGGGAAAAGGGCCGCCCCCGTCCCCCAGCCGCCGCTGGGAAGAAACCACAAACTTCCAGCTCTTTGGTCCGTTGGCACGACCGGGAGCTTCAGAGGGACGCGGGAACGGCCCATGGGAAGCCCGAGTGGTTTAATCCAACTCCCCCACGGGGTCTCATTCTGCTCTCAAATTGCTCAGCGTCAGCTTGGATGCAGAAAGTTTAACATCCCTTCCAAACTGCCAGCTTTAATTACGATCGCTCGGGACTGTTACAACATCCACAGGAATGTCCAGTCCCTCGAGCGTTCGGTCCCCACCAAGTTTCCTCCGGCGGGGAAGTGCCCGTGTGTGACTACGGGACAAATCCCAGCCTTTCACCCGGCATTTCCATCCCGTTGCGTGTCCGGGAGAGCGATGGAGGTCGCAGCCACATCGGGCGGCGGGGATGGACTAGCTGCCTCCTCGCTGGTAAAAATGACTCTGCACCGAGATCTAGAACCAGAGGGAGAAAAAAAAAAAAAAAAAAAAAAAGGTATTTGCATTGCAAAACGTTCGCCGGCACCAAGGGATCCTAACTGCAGCCCTACGGCCTGCCGCACTCCTTGCCCGCTCATCTCTCCCTCAGCACCCAGCGCGGGGGCTCAGCCTGCACCCCAAATCCTCGCACCCCCATCATCTGCCCCGGCCCGAGCTTGTGGGGAGCGCTCGGGGCTCCCCGGGAAGACAAGCGACAGCTTCGCCCTCGTGGTTTCTGGCGCCGGGTCCAGGCGGAGGTGGGGTGGCACCGTGATGCCCAGCACGTCGCCAGCCCCCATCACACCTCCCTGGCCCCTCCTGCTCCCACCAGCGTCCCTCCAGCCACACCAGCGGCACCTCTGGGTGGGATATCGGCATGAAGGGACAAACCTACAGATCCCAGATCACATCCCGGAGTCCTGGGATCCCGCAATCCCAGGCTGCCGCTCCGGTGGTCACCGGCACCCGGGATGCGGGGCCAGGGCGAGCTGAGGAGGCGCAGGGCTCCACGCTCGAGCTTCGGGCCGTTACTTTCCTTCCAGCGCGTTCTCCAAGAGCATCGTCGGAAGGTCTGTCCCCAGAGAGCTGCAGCAACACCCAAAAAGGCCAATTCTGACCCCAAAGGGCCACCAGTAGCACAAACAACTGCGCTTTTACATCGATGATCCCTCGGCTCCATCAGCTCCAGGTGCCTAAGGCTTAACCCTCCTAAATTCTGCCAGCTGTGGCGGGCAGACAGCATTATCCGTGTCTCCGAGCCTGGAAAAGCAGCGTGGAGGTGGGATCCGTGGGGGTCAGGCGAGGAGTAAGAGAAAAAAACCAAACAACCTCTTGGGTGGGGTCTGGCTGGTCCCACAGCGCCGGTGCCACGATGCCCCCGGGTCCGAGCGCTCGCGGCTCCATCGCTGGCGCTCGCACGGGGGCGGCTGGGGAAGGCAGTGAACCCCCCAGGTTTTCTCCGAGGCCCCCTCCCCAAGCATCTCAGCTGGACAATAAAGCCATAAAGCATCTGCCAGGCGTGCTGGCCCTCAGCAAACAGACCCGACATCTAAAATGTAGCCGGAGTGAGGAGCCGGGGCTGACGGAGGCCTGCCTGACGCCAGGGAGATGGGCTCCCTGCCTTCCCCCCAGCCCCATTGTCTGCGAGCTGATGAAAACAAGAAACCACATTCGATCCTTCAAACGGCTGAAGGGAGCCCAGGGGGGAGCACGGGGGTGGGCAGGCGGTGCCCCCCCCCGCCCCGTGCCCATCCCGGGGGCCGTGCCTTCACAATGGGGGTTGCCCACTTGGACCCAGCGACCTGCAACCCTAAAACAAGCCCCCCAGGGTCCAACAGCCAAGCGAGGAGCCATCGCTGGCTCCAATGAAGCCGTCTGCTAATTAAATCAGCCGGTCGCATCCTGAGCTCTCCCCCTCCCCAGCACAAAGCCGGGGTAAATACGCAGGAGAAGCCGGGTCTGCGCTGAGATCGCATCTGACTCAGGCTGCCTCGGAGCCCGGCTCAGTCCCAACACAATCCCGAATTGCGGTGATTAAGCAACAGCCGTCCCCAGAGGCTCCGTGAAGATAATATTTAATTTTTTTTTTTTTTTTAAACCTCCGCCTCAGTTATTATACCAAGGCCTGGGGGAGGGAAACAGACTCTACGCCCTCTCCCAAGGAAATAAAGCCTCTCGCCCCAGACAGAGCAGCAGGGCCGATGTCTGAGCCTGGCGTAGAGCGGAGGGAACTCCCTGTTGGCTCAGGGCGCTGTGCCAGGCCAGGACCAAGATAAACCGGCTCCGAATCCGGCCGGGTCTCTCGCAGAAGCAGGTGAGCGTGCTGGAGGGGACAAGCGCAGCGGGCAGCCCCCCGGCCCGCAGCTGGAGCATCCTCATCCTCCGAGCAGCCCCCCAGCCCCTCGCAGGGGTGTGGGTACCCCCAGAGGGTAGTGAGCACCCTATGGGTGCCCACCCTTGTCCCCTTAGGCGCTGCCAGGGTCACCCTGAGGTGGGCAAGGGGGGGGAAACCCAGCACTTGCCCCCGCGTCGGGCACAAAGGGCTCGGAGGCCAAACGGGTGGTTGACCGCAGCGGGGCAGCTTGGCCAGTAAACCCCAGCAAAAAGCCACAGGCACCAGTGCCAGGCTCCACACAACCCAGGGTAGGGGTTGGGG